GCAAAATTTGTGGTGATTTATGCTGGTGACCGCAAAAGGTAAGTGTAAAGCAACAGCCATTCATACTGTTAATGACCTGAGTAATTCAAATCCGTTGCAAAAAAGCATGATCACACGGGCCCGCCTGATGCGTTCCAGCCTGGGTTTTTTTTGAATTTTAGCGATCGATGAAATATGGTATCGCAAGCGTGCAACCGCTTGTCACGTGAACTGGAAATGCTACGAAGCTCTCCACCAGCTGGCATAATTGTCGAGCCCTGTAAGTCCAATCTGCACCGATGGAATGCGGTCATATTAGGGCCAGAGAATACACCATTTGAAGGTGGAACGTTCAAAATGTCGCTTCATTTCCCGCTGGACTATCCGTACAGGCCGCCGATAATCAAATTTGATACCCGGATGTTTCATCCGAACGTGGCCGCTGATGGCAGAATTGCTCTGAACGAATTGCGCAATCGCTGGAGACCGGGCTTGTCCATGGCCACTATTCTTACTTCGATCCGGCAACTATTGGATGGGCCAAATACAGCTATTACAGTAAATGAACAAGCTGCTGATTTTTACCGCACAAGAAGGCGCGAATTTAACATAATCGCTCGGCAGGCAGTCGAGCAATCTTGGCGGTCACTTTACGAAGATGAGAGACAGCAAGCACTAGGCAATGAAAATAACAGCGCAAAACGCAGCAGAACTGAGTGATACCAGATGAGCACAACAACAGTTACTCTCAGGCGCCGATGGATACCTTGGATGATAAATTCTAAGAGCTAATTCCAGCACTGTTTGTTGACGGTCTTAATTTTTGATGACCTTATTGTTTTTATTGTTGTTTTTTTTTTAAATTTTGATCTTACTGTTTTTTTTAAAATTTTGATCCCGCTGTTTTTTTCTGAAATTTTGATTCTACTGTTCTTTTTCTAAATTTTAATTCTACCGTTTTTTTTTTAAATCTTGATCCTACCATTTTTTCTAAAATTTTGATCCTACTGCTCTTTTTCTAAATTTTAATTCTACTGTTTTTTCTAAAATCTTGATTCTACTATTTATTCCAAATTTTGATCCTGCTATTCATTTTAAATTTTGATTTTCCTGTTCATTGTGCCACTTCTAACTTCTTTTTCGCAACAACCTGTTTTTATTATGAATTGTATTGATGAACCTGCACAGGCCTACTAAATTCAGAAAAATTTTTCAGTTTTTTTTAACGATTGTTGACAAATTTCGAAGATTTTTGACAAATTCTTGGTAAATTGCAAGACTGTTGACAAATTTTGTTGCATCAAATATTTTTTGTAAAAAACAGGCCTGTTACCTGATCCTAACAAGAGAGCCAGTTCGGCTGAATGTGGAACAGTATTTGGATAGGCCGCAGTTTACAGAACAGTTCTTCAACCGTACAAGTTGACTTTCCCAGCTGCTTTGATTAGCTGGTGCCCATCAGTCTGCTGGCGATTCTGACGTCTGTTTCGTCTTCTGAAGGAATTACCGGTTCAGTGACGTGGAAAAATGACCAGTTTAAATAACATCGCAGAATGTGATACAATTCGAACACCAATGAAATCACGGAAAATAACAGCGTGGATGCTGCCGAGACGCAACTACAAATGCCGAACGAATCTGAGCTGTGCTCTCCATCCTGAACTATCTGCCTCACATTAGCTACATTTTCAAAGCATGAGAACAAATGGACCATCCAGGCTGTACGGTCACAAATTGGTGAGCCCATCTATCGCTTGGGACATTGTCAACACTAATACGTGAACTTTTGTCATATATGTATAATATGGGAGTTAGTAGTAGTTAAAGAGGAAGTAATGTAAAGAAAGAAAGAACAAATAGCAGTGCGCACCAGGCCAGCCGGCGCGATTATGCGTTTTGTGCAATTCCACTCACCAAACGATTGCCTGCCAATGATTTTCACTGCATTCAATTTAAATTTGAAGAGAGGTATCCCCCAAAGATTTCAGCGTTCTAGCTTCCCAGATCCTCGAGTTATGAAATTACCCCAAAAAAAATTTGGTGGGCCCGTACGCGACTACCACGCTTAATTGAGCAATGGGTTTCAGTGCATTAACATCTACTTGCACGGGAAACATCCCCCTAAGATATCAACGTTCTAGCTTCTCAGATCCGCGAGTTATGAGCTTACTCGAAAAAATTTTTGCCGGTCCCGTACGCAAGTACCACGCTTATCCGGGGGATAGTTATCCGCGCATCAGTGTCTAGTTGTACGGGGAACATCACCCTAAGATTTTACCGTTCAAACTTCTCAGATCCGCGAGTTATGAGCTTACTCGAAAAGATCTTCGCCGGCCCCGTACACGAGTACCACGTTCACCCGGGGGATACGTTTCCGTGCATCAGTGTCTACTTGGACGGGGAACACCCCCCTAAGATTTCAGCGCACTAGCTTCTCAGATTCTCGAGTTATGAACCTACCCGAAAAACATTCGCCGGCCACGTACGCGAATACCACGCTCATCCGGGGGACAGTTTTTCGTGCTCGTGTACTTGGACGGGGAACATCACCCTAAGATTCAGCGCTCTAGCTTCTCAGATTCCTGAGTTACGAACCCACTCGCAAAAATATTCGCCGGCCACGTACACGAGCACCACGCTAGCCCGGGGGATAGTATTCCGTGCATCAACGTCTACTTGGCGGGAAAAAACACCCTAAGATTTCAGTGATCTAGCTTCTCAGACTCCCGAGTTATGAATTAAATCGAAAAAAATTCGCCGGCACCGTACGCGAGCACCACGCTCACCCGGGGGACAGTTTTCCGCGCATCAACGTCTACTTGAACGAAAAACAACACCCTAAGATTGCAGTGCTCTAGCTTCTCAGATCCCCGAGTTTGGGCTTTTGCCAAGAAAAATTTGGCAGGCCACTGCGCGCCTACCACGCTTTCGCGGAGGACAGGCTTTAGTGCATTAACATCTACTTCGACGGGGAACATAATACTATGGTTTCAGCATTCTAGCTTCTCAGATCCCGAGTTATGAAATTCTGCTAAAAAAAATTTCTCAGGCCATTACGTACTTACACGCATCTCCGGAGGACGGGCTTCAGTGCATTTACGCCTACTTAGACGGGGAAAATCATATTATGATTTCAGCGTCCCACCATCTCAGAACCCCGAGTTTGGAACTTTGCCAAAAAGAATTTGGCAGGCCACTACGCGCTTACCAACTTTTTCCGGAGGGACTTGGACGGGGAACATCACACTACGGTTTCAGCGTTCTAGCTTCTCAGATCCCCGAGCTACGAAATTTTGCCAAAAAAAAATTTGGAAAGCCGTTACTCGCTTACAACTCCTTCCCTGAGGACGGGCTTCAGCGCTTTAACACAAACATAGGCGGGGAACATCATATTAAGATTTCAGCATCCCAGCTTCTCAGATTCATGAGTTTGGCATTTTGCGAAGAAAACTTTGGCAGGCCATAACTTCCTTACAACTCCTTTCCGGAAGACGGGCTTCAGCGCTTTAACACAAACTTAGACGGGGAACATCATGTTATGATTTCAGCGCTCCAGCTTCTCAAATCCCCGAGTTATTAAATTTTGCTAAAAAAACTTTGGAAGGCCATAACTTGTTTACAACGCCTTCCCGGAAGACCGGCATCAGTGCATTAATACATACTTAGACGGGGAACATCATACTACGGTTTCAGCGTCCTAGCTTCATATATTCCCGAGTTATGAAATTCAACCAAAAAAAAAAAATTCTCAGGCCATTACGTGCGACCAACGCTTTTCCGGAAGACGGGCTTCAGCGCTTTAACACTAACTTAGACGAGGAACATCATATTATGATTTCAGCATCCTAGCTCCACAGATTCATGAGTTTGGCACGCTGAAACCGTAG